GTACCTGGAGATGCTCCTCGATGTCCTTCCTGTCGTAGGTGATGCCGCTGGGCGTGATGCAGGGCTCCCGCATCAGCTCAAAACTGATCTTCCCGCACAGGTAGTCAGGGATGTCCCGCTTCTGCCTCGAGAGAAGAACAGTTGGGTCAAGAGGGGCTGGGTGAGCCCAGCATCAAAACTGAGAGGGCTGGAGTGGCACTGGCTCGGAGGGGAGCGGGGAAGATGGGGGAGCAGGGAGGAAGGCAGGGGTAGGGCGAGCAGCTCTCGATGGGAGCACAGGCCAGGGGACACTCACCTTCCTCTTCTCATCCACCTGAGAGAAGAGCTCGTCCATGTCCGCCAGGTATTTGTCCTGAAAGAAAAAGCCTTGAGGACGAGGGGACCCTGGTGTACAGGAGCTACAGGTCCCCAGGGAGAGAGCCCTGAGGCACCCATGGGTGCTGTGGCAGGTCCTCGGTGGCTGCGGCCACCAGTCAGTGTTTGTGCAGCTCCAGGATTGATCCAGCTTAAAAATAACCTGCCTTTGTGTGGTTATTTTTATCCTGGGATTAGTCCCCTGCGCTGGGCCAGCACCCAGAGACCCACACGCAGCCGAGAGCCACTCGCATTGCACGGCCCTTGGAGAACCAGAGGGCCCAGAGCTGGGGGAGCACAGACAGGTATCACCACTGCCGGGCTGGGACAAGAGGTGACAGAGCCAGGGGAGCTGTCACAGGGGGACACAACAGCAGCTCGAGCCACAGAATGAAGGCTGAGGAGCCGTGTTCTCTCCTGCCTGTGCTGTGCAGCCGTCCTCAGGCAGAGCACGAGGATGAGGATGGGATGAGGAAGCCCCAGCTCATCTCCCAGCCTCCGGGAGCCACCCCGGTCCCCTGCTCACGTGCTTGGCCTCGATGGTGGCCAGCTGAACTCGGCCCCGGCTCTCATCCGCGTTCTCTTCTTGCTGAGTCTTTCGGCACTCGGCCAGCTCCCTGGGAGAGAGGGGGGAGATGAGAAGTGATGATGGAGGGGACACTGTCCCTCCCTTCCCTGCTGCCACCACCCAGCTCTGCCTGCAGCTCCGGGATGGCAGAGGCACCACACCAGCTTTGTGGCACTAAAGAAAGTCTTTCTGGGTCCCACCTCTCCTTCTCCGCCACGATCAGCTTGGTCAGGTAGGAGTGCAGCTCGTTCTCCTGGTTGATCCTCTTCTCCTCGATGCTGTTCCAACGTTTCTTCTTGGCGATGCGCAACGCGCTGGGGATGTCGTCCCCAAAATTCAGCCGCTGCTCCTTGGCGAGGTTGTAGGCTGGGGAGGGAAAAACCACCTCAGAGCTGCCACCAGCTTCCTTCTCCCCATCCCTGGGGGCCAGGACAGACAGTGAGGTGACACCAGCACGGGGCCCGCTCACCTCTCTGCAGGTTGGCGATGGCCTCGTCGTAGTTCTCCATCTCCATCTGGCACTGGCCCAGGAAGAAGTGAGCCTTCACCGACTGCCCGTCCAGCTCCAGCGCGCGCTTGCAGTCGGCCAGCGCCTTGTCGTGCTGCTGCATCTTCAGGTAGCAGAGGGCCCGGTTGGTGTAGTACACGGCCACCAAGGGGTTCCGGTTCTGCCAGACGAGACCCGGTGACACCGACCGCCCGCTCCCCTCCCACA